GGGGGGGGGGGGGGTTGTTGAGCAGGCCAAGAAGCCAACGTGAGGGAGGGTGGGTGCAGGAGAGAAGGGTTGACCCAGCAGCCTCGTTGCGGGCTTTCACACTTCCAAGACGGTCCAGACGCCTGGCTCCATGCTGTGCGAGAGCAAAGTTGTGCGCAGCCGTTCCATTGGGCCCCAGCCCCGGGCGCTCGCCAGCCAGCGCCCTTCCAGCTCGATGAGACTGGCCCTTGATTTTCTCTTGAGGCTGCGCATGGCGCTCCAACCCCCTCCACCCTCTGCCCTGCCTTGGACCTCACCACCCTCCCCTTCACCCCCCGCCCCCCCAAGGTACGTGTCCTTTGACATCCCGCTGTCCCCCGACCTGGCCCCGGGTGACTTTGCCCACCTGCCGCTGGCCAAGATGAGGGCCTACCACACCAAGGGGCTGCAGCTGCAGCTGGAGCAGTTCTGGCAGGTGCGCAAGGGCCGGCGTCCGCCAGCGCGGGGCGCGAGTTGGCGTGTACGTGTGGGTATGTGAGGCTGTCGTCACATCAACAAACAGCGGCAGCTGCGTGAAATGGGTGGTTGCGGGGCGTGCGTGGCGGCGTCAAGGCTGGAGCGCCGCCCCACTATAGAGCCGGGGTTTGTGACTGCGGGGCGTGCTGCTGTGTTTGCTTGCCCTCACCGCTGAGAGCCCTCGCCTGGCCTGCAGGGCATGGCACTGGCGGTGGCCCTGGGGCGCGTGCTCCTGCTGCCGCGATTTGTGTGCTTCTGCGACAAACACTGGATGGAGATGGACCGGTGTCGTCTCCCTGGCGCAACAATGGTGCGGGGCGGGAGGGACAGGGAGGGGGTTTAGCAAGGCCAGTTGGTGCGAAAGTGTGCAGGAGAGGGGACGCGAAGCTGACGCCTGATCCACACCGGCGGGCGCGCAGTGGCCCCGCACAATCAGGTACCGCTGCCTCCTCTGTCCCTTCATCAGCCTCCTTGTGAGGGCGATGGCAACCCCTGCATTCCGCGCCTCCCACCCGCGTCGGCCCTTTCTCACTCCCAAACCTTGAAAACCAATTGAACCTCCCCGGCTGGCCCCCCCCCCTCCCCAGGAGCGCCTGCCCTTCCCCTGCCCCCTGGACCACGTGATGGCGCCAGACAAGTTTGACGACGCGGGCAGCGAGCTCACCGTCACGATACGCGAGGCCGGGGCCCTCATGAACCCACGTGCGGCCCACGACATGCTCTCCTGTATCAGCACTGCCTGGCCTGGTGCCCCTGTTGATATCATTGCCGAGAAACGGGCCATGCATGTAGGCAACCGTGACTTGCACAACACGTGCACGCATGTGCACACGAGCAAACGGCGTACACACATGTACAC